GCCTGCTGTGTTCATCCAGCTCTACACCTTGTTATCTCAGGTAGGAATATTTGTTTGGATAAAAATAAATAGAGGTACTTAAAAAGCTGGCAGCACTTGAAATAGGAAAGTGAGCCAGTCCTGCTGGAGATGCATGTGGTTTGCTCATAAACAGGGACAGACAACTATATGCCAAACAGCCTAACATCAGTAAAAGAGCATTGTCTACAGACAATAATCCCAAGGCAAAATTCATTTGTGTTTGGAGAAGTGTGTATTGGGAAAGGAAGGTCAGCACAGATTTGTTTTGTGATTGACTGACTTGATTGCATTCTTTGATGAGAGGGCAATGCAGTCAATGTGCATGTAAGGATTTTCAAAAGGCATTTAACAAAGTTCCACATTATAAACTTCTGAACAAATCTGAAGTCCATGGAATTAGAGTGGTAGCATGGAAAATGGACAGAAAGCAGAGCATAGTGGTGACCAGCTGTTTTTCTGGTTGGTGAGGAGAAACCAGTGGTGTTCTCCCATTAGTTGGCATGAGCACAATTTATCTCATTAACAGATATTAATGACTTGTCCAATGGTACATGGGACAGAATCCTATGGTGTGCAGATGATATGAAATTTGAAATACAGTGAATAGTGACAAACTGACTAACACACCAGCAAGGCAGAGAAAGGCAGGTGAAATAAGTGGACGTGTGGCAGATTAAGTTAAAACGTAGTGCAAAGTAATTACCAAGAAGGAATGAGGAGAAGTGATTTATGTTAAATGTCACAATTTGAAAGGGCTTTAGGAATAGAGAGAGCTGAGCTACAAAATATTCAAGGTAGTAGGACTCTTTTAAAACTTTTTTCGCAGGATGCGGGTGTCACTGGCAAGGCCTGCATTTGTTGCCCATCCCTAAATGCCTTTGTGAAGGTGGATATGTTGAGACAGCTGTTAAAAAGTAGAGGCATGGAGTAGAAAAGCAAGAATCGGTCTTTTATTGCCACAGCTACCAACAATAACCAATGAACTTATTTGAAGGACTACGTTATTGTGTCGTTTACAGCAACAATTTGATGGTTTTTAGCTGAATCTGGGAAGAACATTTACACTACTTGACAGAACTGCTTGACTGACTACAAAAAGCCAGTCTGATTATAAATCAGACTAAAAGTGAATTTGCCAAAGCAAAAGTGACTTATCTAGGCTACAATTCAGGACAGGGCCAAGCAGCATCTAGCGAACTGAAAGTAAGGGCTAATTTGGATTTTCCCATGCCTTGGACAAAATGTGAAATTTTGTATTATGTTGGCATGAATGAATCTCGTTGTAATTTTATTCCAAAATTGAAAAGCCAAATCTGCAGCATTGTGTTTCAGTGATAGACCTCCTCATTAAATTAAGAACCAAATAAAATACAATCCGTTGAGCAACATTTCAGCCTGGGATCTCACCTGTCTTGTGTCAATAGTCTGGAGAGCTTTGTAGGCTTTAGCATTCTGCCCCCGATTGAAATAGGGAGGAGGAGAGGACACAACAACCAAAAAGGGAGTATTATTTCTCAGTTACTCTGTAGATGACCTTTATAGAGTTTTATAAAGTAATGAGGGGCATGGATATGGTGACTAGCCAAGGTCTTTTTCCAAGGGTGGAGGAGTCCAAAACTAGATGGCACAGGTTTAAGGTGAGGGGAAAAATTGAAAAAGTACCTGAGGGGTAACTTTTTCATGCAGAGGGTGATGCATGTATGGAACAAACTTCCAGAGGAAGTAGTGGAGGCGGAACTATTATATTTTAAAAGGCATCTGGATGGATATATGAATTGGAAGGATTTAGGAGGTTGTGGGGAAAATGCTAGCGAATGGGACTAGATCAGATTGGGATGTCTGGTCAGCATAGAGGAGTTGGACCGAAGTGTCTGTTTCCATGCTGTATGACTCTATGACTCCAAGTTACTTGTTCATCTGAAACAGCAGTTGTATTTGTACGGTGATGGGGTGTTGTTAATGACTAAATTGACAGCTGATATCAAAAGTGACAATGCTTTCAATTAGTTATTGTTCCAAATGGCTATAGCCCAGTATAGGAATGCTGCTTTAGTCTCCCAGAGTTGTCACAATGGGCTCCCCAGTTAGAATCATAGAATCCCTGCAGCATACAAGAAGGCCATTTGGCCCATCGAGTCCATACTGACCCTCTGAAGTGCGTCCCGCCCAGGCCCACCCTATCAGTGTTTCCCATGGCTAATTCACCTAGCTGGCACGTCCCTGGACACAATGGGCAACTTAGCATGGCCAATCCACCCTAACCTGCACATCTTTGGATGATGGGAGGAAATCGGAGCACCCGGAGGAAACACTCACAGACATGGAGAGACCGTGCAAACATGTTGAGAAGTAGAGATGTGGTGTGCACAACAGGAATGCAAAGTTAAGCAGGAATGAGCGATCATTTATTTAGCATGTTTCATAGCCTCAACCCATTCAAAATCTGTTGCAAAAGCATGGCTGTGCTGGTGGAGACAAGTCAGATACTAGAACACTGGGGATCTGTACTGGTGGGGACAGATCTGTCACTGTATAACACTGGGATACAGCATTGTTGGGGATAGGTCTGTTACTATAAAACATGGGTGCAGTACTGTTGCGGACATGTTTATCATTGTGTAAAATGGTTACAATACTGTTGGAGACAGGTCTGTTATTGTATAATACTGGGTTACAGTTCTGGTGGAACAGGCTTCTCACTGTATAACACAGTACAGTAATTGTTGGGATATGTGTATCATCATATGACACACGGGTATGGACCCAGTCCTGGGTTCCTTGATCCCAGTTTAACATTCCTTATCGGTCTATTGAGTGACTGAGTGGCACAAGAGGTGGCCTTTCCCGCAGAGAGGTTCTTTGGCTCTCCAGCCTGCAGTTCTGATCCCTGCAACCTCCACAAGTTACTGTGCATTGTGTGTGATTTTTCCAACAGCCATTCACGGTGGCACGACCCACGGGCTATTCCAGGGCTCTCCAGGGCAGTGATGTTTCTTTGTAAAAGGCTGCCCAGTTGTTGAGGAGTAGAAATGTAGTGTATTCAACAAGAAAGGAAAGTTAATCAGGAATGAGCTAGCATTTATTTAGCATCTTTCATAGCCTCAACACATGCAAAATCTGTTGTAATGTAAGAAACATGGCTGTGCTGGTCGGGACAGATCTGTCATTGAATAACACTGGGATACTGTATTGTTAGGAACAGGTCTGTCATTGTATAATAATGGGCTACAGTACTGATTGATATAGGTCTATCACTGTAAAATACTGGGTACAGTACAGGTAGGGAGATTTTCTCATGATTTTCCTTTTTTCTTTGACAGGCTGAGGCCAGATTGGCAGCGAAACGGGCTGCACGGGCCGAGGCAAGAGAGATCCGAATGAAAGAGCTAGAGAGACAGCAGAAAGAGGTGAGTTGGAGAATTGGGCACATGTTGGCAGTGTTTGGTATTATCCCCATTGCTGCTCTGTTATTAACTGACCATTGCTGAGATTGCAGTGGTCAGAGCTGAGGCAAGAGTGTAAGGTTGGGGACTTCTGCTTCTTTTTGACTGAGGAGGCTGAATCCTCTGGATGGATTCACCAGATGATCCAGTGTAGAAAGGAGTGACTGCCATACTCTGTAACAGAATCACCTGCAGGTTTCTTCCCAACCACCAACTGTTTTGTCTTGGGTATAGCAACATAGGAACAAGCGTAGGCCATTCAGACTGTTGAGGCTGTTCTGCCACTTAATATGAATATGGCTTATCAAACACTTCAATGCCTTTTAACTAAACTATCCCCATAACCCTTTATGCCACTGGTAATCAGAAATTTGTCAATCTCTGCTTTAAACACACTCAAAGACTGAAGTCCCATCACCTCTGTGGTAGAAAATTCCCAGAGTTTTACAATTCTATCCTTATCTCAGTCCTAAATAGCATTTGCCTTATTTTAAATAGTGTTCTCTGGTTCTAGACTCCTCACCAGTCTATCATGTCTAACTCTATGTATTCTGTAGGTTTAAGTGAGATCACCTGTCATTCTTTGAAACTCAAGACGGTACACACCCTGTTTTCCCAATGTCTCTTGACAGGACAATCCCACCAACCTGGGAACAAGTCTGGTGAATCCAACATACATTTGAAATTCTTACATCATCGCCTGAGAACTCCCCATCTCAGATTATTTGGAATAGAAGTCACTGGTTCGGTCCCGCAAGCCCATTTATATAAACTAATCAAGAACAGTCAGCTTGGCTTCATGAAGGAGAAAGCATGTCAAATAAATGTGTTAGAATAAAAACTGAAAGAACTGCGGATGCTGTAAATCAGGAACAAAAACGGAAGTTGCTGGAAAAGCTCAGCAGGTCTGGCAGTATCTGTAAAGAAAAAACAGAGTTAACGTTTCAGGTCTGGTGACCCTTCCTCAGAATTTATTAGAATTCTTTTGAGGAGGTAGCAATCAGGGGAACCAACAGATGTGATGTGTCTGGATTTACAAGTGGCATTCGATAAGATGCTGTAGATAAAGCAACTCATTAAGATGGGAACAGAAGTGAATGCACTGTCACCAGTTTATGGATAGCGTAAAGATAAGTGAGGAGGTAAGTAGTGAGGAGATACAGAGTCTGCAGGGGGATGCAGATAGGTTGAGAGAGTGCTCACGGACTTGATGGAATATGGTATAGGAAATTGTGAGTTTGTGCACTTTACCAGTTGAATATTATTAAATGAAGAGAAACTGCAGAATACCATATTGCAGATGGATCTGGAGATCCTCGTGCAAGAATCCCAAATAGCTAGCATCCAATTTCAGTGGGTAATAGGGAAGGCAAATGAACTGTTGACCTCTATTTTATAGGCAATGGAATATAAAAGTAGGGAAGCCTTGCTCAAATTAAAGGCATTAGTTATCATACCTGGAATACTGTGAACAATTTTGGTCTTTCTAAGGATAGATATACTGGTGTTGGAGACAGTCAAAGGAGGTTCACTAGGTCATTTCTGAGTAAGAAGGGATCTCCGTAGAGGAATGGTTGAGCAGGCTGAGTTTAGAAGAATGAGAGGAGACATTATTGAAATGTACAAGATTCTTAGGGGACTTGTAGGGATTGTTTCCCTTTACAGGAGTCTTGGACCAGAAGATGTAATCTCAGAGTAAGCAATTATAGAGTCATACAGCACAGAAACAGACCCTTCGGTCCACCTCATCACGCCAACCAGGTATCCTAAACTGATTTAATCCCATTTGTCAGCATTTGGACCATATCCCTCTAGACCCTTCCTATTCATGTACCAATCCAAATGTCTTTTAAATGTAATTATACTTGCGTCCTCCACCACCTCTGGCAGCTCGTTTCATACACGCACCACCCTCTTGCATGAAAATGTTGCCCCTCAGGTCGTTGTTAAAATCTTTCCACCTTTCAACTTGAACCTATGCCTTCTAGTTTTAGTCTGCCTTATCCTGTGAAAAAGACCTTGACTATTCAACCTATCCATGCCCGTCATGATTTTATAAACCTCTATTAGGTCACCATTAAGCCTCCGACGCTCCAGGGGAAAAATGCCCAGCCTATTCAGCCTCTCCCCACAGCTCAAATCCTCCATTCCCAGTGACATCCTTGTAAATCTTTTCTGAACCCTTTCAAGTTTAACAACATCTTCCCTATTAGCAGGGAGGGCAGAATTGAATGCAGTATTCTAAAAGTGGTCTCACCAATGTTCTGTACAGCTGCAACATAATGTCCCAAATCCCATACTCCATGCACTGATCAACGTCCATTTAAGACAGAGATGAGGAGGCATTTCTCTTCTGAGGGTACTGTGCATAATTCCTTGCCACAGAGGGCTGGCGAGGCTGGGTCATTAAGTATATTCAAGGCTGAGATAGACAGATTTTTAATTGATGATGTAATCAAGTGTTTTTGGGATCAGAGCCATGATTTTATTGAATGGCAAAGCAGTCCTAATGGGCTGAGTGGCCTACTTTTGCTCCTACACCTAATAATCTATAGACCTAATCAAATCAGATTATTTTTGATCTTGCAACAACTTCATTTCCCCCACCCCTTTGTTCAGTATCCTTTCACGCTCTTATCTAACGAAAGACTAAAAATTTCATCCTTTAAAGCACCAACTGCCTTGACACTGACAACCTGTTTTCTAAATTGCACCTTTCTTTTGTGTTGAAGACCTCCTTCCTGACTTCACATTGAATGTGCAATTTAAAATTAAGGCTCTCATGTCCTGGATTTAGTTTCCCCATATTAACCCAATGAAATCCATTTCATTTGAATATTTTAAACACTTTCATCAGAGCACATCTTAATTTCCAATACTCAAAAGGTTGCAAATTAGTTTGAGGCCACATTCATAATCTTTAAGGCCAAATGCTGAGCAGCATCGTAGAAGGAGGAGCTTCACCGTATGGGCTGTCATCCATTCAGAAAGTGAATCATTAGCCACAGCACAGCAACAAGTGGCAGATAATATATACCAGTATTGCCAGCTATGTCCAATGCCAGAAACGCATTTTTAAAAGATTGGTAATCATCCAGATGGAGGCCTGTCCATTACTCCAGCAGAGATCCATCTTTAACTGTTGTAGATAAGCAAATTTAACTTCCATAGAACCTCTGGTTAATACCCATAGACACCCAACTACAACTGGTTACATCCATAGACAGCCCGTTGTTGCTCTCTTAGTTGCCCGTCTGTAATTCCAGTTGATGCCAGGCTGTAATGCATCCTGGTGTGCTATACCTACCCTCAATCTCGGCATGTATATGCCATTCTCAGCAGTACTGTTGTTGCTGGCTGCACTGTATTCTGGAAAAGTTTTGTGAATTTTCCAGGTTGCAGAGACCTTCTGTATAACTACTTTCCTTTGTGTGATTTCTGTGCTTTGTAGAGGGTTGAAGGAGCTTTGAATCATCTGTACTCTGACGCAACAAATGTTCCATTGATCATGACCCCTGAACTGGCTGTATTGGCTCTGTAATTAGTGGATGTTGCGTATTTTGTTGTCCTCTATTCTCAGTTCCCCAGGAACCACGACTTCAAAACTACTGACCTGTTTTGTCATTGCCTCTGGTATGATGCCATGGTGATCTAAGTTTCATTCCAGTTGTTTTAGCTGTCGGTTGTTTAAATACTGAATGTGATCGAAAGAGAGGCAGGTCTGAGCTCATTTCTCCTGATCTGAGTGAGCAGGTCCAAAAAGGCCCTCTTGCATCTTGCACTCAGTTTGGAGTTTGGCTTTTCACTATATGTCATCTTGGTCTGTATCTGGGCCTTGGCCCTGTGGGTGACATGCCAGAGTCCCAAAATACAAAAAACTGGGTCCAATTTATCCTGTGGTTGGCAAGGATGTACAAAATAAAATATGTCAAGCTTCACATGGGTCCAATTGCTCTTTCTAACTGAAACCTTGCAACTCTGTCTGCACATTCAATCTATTTAACTTCTTTCTTTTGCTATTTTCCTTCCAATTTTATCTGCTCGGCAGATCTACCAGGTTCAAAAGGTGAGCCTTCTTGTTGGCTGCTATGTTTGTCTCATGGTTTAATTTTATCCATCCTTGTTGCATGCACTGACTTCATTTGCACCTTCCCCCATATTGGTGTTGGTTTGGAGGCATGGCCAGTCAGCAGCGAATTTGAAAATCTGCCCAACTGTTTGCTTAAACCCAGGTTTTCTTTTGTTCTCTTTGTTATTTTTCCAGATTTGTCTTCCATCTCCAGGCTGTCACTGCGATTTGGTTTCCAACACAGACCAGCCTGTGCCAGTATGTTAGGCCATTGTCCACAGGCTGGGGGGGGTCTCTGATTTCCCTAAGCAGCAAAAACATGGGCAGCCTGGTATCTTCTCCCTGCCCACTTGTCCCATTGGCACTGATTCACAGCCTTGGCACAGACCAAACCTGTTTTTAAACTAACAGAGGAACAGGAGAAAGCCATTCAGCCTAATTTGCAAATGTACCTTAACACCATTTGCCTGCCTTAAATCCAAAATCTCACCTCACTCTCTTACTGAGCAAAAATTTATTATCATTTCAAAGGTTTGTTCACTCCTAGCAGCCTCAGCCATTTGAGAAATTGTGTTCCAGATATCTGCAACTTTTTGTGTGAAAATGTGTTTTCTGATTTCACTGCTGACCTTCCAGCCTCTAGTTCACTGTTGAGTTGCACATTCAAGCTTTTGCTGGCAATAGTATAAGTGTCTATGTTTGTGTGGGTCAAGGATCGTACTTCTGAAAGTCCCAATTCTGTTTTGGGAGTTTCAGTCTGAGACTGTACATGGTTCTAAGATATCTGTTTCTGATGTGTTGTATCTCTGTCTGTTTATGGGCATGACTGTGTTTGGCTTAGTCTCTGGAAATGCCTCTGAGTGAGTAGGCCTGTGAGTGCGCTTGTCACTATGAG